CCCGAGTGCTCCTCTCGCACAGCGCGGGTGCTCCGAGGGCACCATCCTCCCTTTCCTCCTCTGCATTCTCATATGTGTCGGGAAAATGCTTCGGGAGTGCTTTTTTGAAGAAATGCATGAATGGAGTGAATCAGATGTGACGTAACTTCTAAGGGTCTTCTCCGTCCAGAGATGATTCTAGGGACGGATTTCCTGGTATTTGGACAGGCGGACCCTGGCTCGCAGACCTGGCTGGCACAACGGGCATAGTTGTCTGAGACCGATGAGTGTAAAATGTGGCTGTGGCACACTGATACCCCTTTCAGGGTCCTAGGGCAAGTTCCTCTCATGGTCTCCGTGAGGCAAATCTGCCCCCTTGGCAGGTGGATTTCACTACGGTGTTTTTTTTTGTTTTTTTTTTTTAATGTTTTGTTTATTTTGGGGGCAGGAGAGGAACAGAGAGAGGGAGACAGAGGATATGAAGCGGGCTTTGTGCTGTCAGCACAGAGCCCGACGTGGGGCTTGAACTCAGGAACCCTGAGATCATGACCTGAGCTGAAGTCGGTCGCTCAAACAATTGAGCCATCCAGGCACCCTGGATTTCGCTATTTTTAACAGATGTCAATCACTCAGAAGTGCCTCTTACAAATAAGATGAGAGAACAACTCAGAAATACTATTTTTGGTTCCCCAAGTGAAATGCGAGGCCTGTAAGTTAATAAAACTGATTTTCTCACTTGGCTTGTGAACCAGCTGTAAAGGTAATTTCCAAAGACACATTCCAAACACATCTTGAGCAGAAATGGCATCATTTGAATAAGCCCACAGTTTGGTAGGAGAGCAGGAGAGTGTTTTGGAAAGACCAGCTCTCATTTTGAGGCTAAGTTCTGGCATGTTATCTTAAAAGATCACCCTTGTTGTGTTATAGAACAAATCTAACATTTGCAGAGGACTTAAAATTTCAAGGGACTTCTTCATCTGTTCTCTCTTTATAGCTCACAATACTTCCTTAAAAAAATGTTTAGGGGTTCTGGGTGACTCAGTTGGTTAAGTGTCTGACTTCAGCTCAGGTCATGATCTTGTGGGTCATGAGTTTGAGCCCCGTCTAGGGCTCTGTGCTGACAGCTCGAAGCCTGGAGCCTGCTTCGGATTCTGTATCCCCCTCTCTCTACCCTTCTCCTGATCTCTCTATCTCTCTGTCTCTCAAAAATAAATAAACGTGAACAAAATTGTAAAAATGTTTATTTTTATTTATTTTTAGAGAGGGAGAACACGAACAGGGGAGGGGCAGAGAGAGAGGGAGAGAGAATCCCAAGTAGGCTCCCTGCTCAGCACAGAGCCTGATGTGGGGCTTGATCTCATGAGATCATGACCTGAGCCCAAAATCAAGAGCTGGATGCTTAACCGACTGAGCCACCAGGCGCCCCTCACGATACTTCTGTAAAATTATTGGGGGCAAGTATTTTCAACCCCATCTTCTAGGTGAAGACGTAGAGGGGCAAAGAGCTTGATGATTTGCCAAGGGTCACGGAGCTAGAAGGAGGCAGAGCCAACCCAGACCTCCTCCGCACACTTGTACGTCATCGAGCAGAAATACAAGACATGCAACGCACACACATGAGAGTCCAAACAATAGTTCCAGTGCCCGTGCTAGTCCTCATGGAGGTGAAAGAAAGGATGTGCACACTTCCCACGACCCGTGTCTGTCGAAGTTCACCTACTTCCTTTGTTGGAGAGCCATGATGAAGTACAGTTAGTTTGGAAGCTACAACAAAATAGCACCAATGGGGGAGGGGAGGAGTTGAAGAGCCAACATTTATTTCCCATACAAGAGACTAGGAAATCTAGGCACTGGCAGATTCTGTGTCTGGTGAGGACTCTCCCTGATTCACAAAAGTCCACTTTCTCACTATGTTGTCACACAGAAGAAGGGCTGAGGGGGGCTCTTTGGTGTCTCTTTTATAACAGCCTTAATCTCATTGATGAAGGCTCCACCCGTACAGTTGGAACACCTCCAAGCCCCACCTCCAAATACCATCACACTGAGGGCTGGGTTTCAACCTATGAATTTTGAGGAGACACCAAAGTTCAGTCTATAGTGAGGGGTCAGGGACATAGACTGTGGGGTCAAGGACATAGACTGTGGAACCAGTTGGCCTGGGCTTGCATCCCAGCCCAACCACTAGCTAGGTGTGACCTTGGGTAAGTTGTTTGCATTCTTCATGCCTCGGTTATCTCCTCTGTGAAAGATAACCACTCATAAAATGTTGTAAGTAATGTGCTAACCAATGTAAAAGATGCCAACAGTGCCTGATGTATAAATTGAAGCTTTAATTAGCATCATTTCATTTTAACTTCTCAACAAGGCCAGGACGTCTGTGGTGTTGTGCCCCGTATTACAGATGAGGTGTAGTACTTTGCCTACAGTCCTAGAACTGGAACTTTGAACTAGGTCTGTGTACGTCATACACCATGCTCCATTCTCTTGGCTAACGTATTCTCTCAGATCGTGCTCACAGATTTCGCAGGTGGCCGTGTTCATGTTAATATTTTCTAAACACAGGTAGTACCCCCTCCCCATGCTTTTTGTCCCTTTCAGGGTCTTTCCTAGAGAATATGTCTGAAAGTCAATGTTTGAAAGTCAAATCATATCCTTATATATCACCAAGGGGTCTATCCCCGGAGGACTATGAAATATAATTAAATCCCCAATTATACTTCATTTTTACAACACAATCTTTAACAATACACTTTCAGAACCACAGTTATGTCCTTTGATTTTGTTTGATCCTCTTGAGGCTCAAGATTCCCAACTTACAGCGTGCCTAATGACTTCCATCTCTGTGGCACATGTCTTAAGTTTATGAGGTCTGTGCTTTTCATTGCTAGGATCAGTACCGATCATTTTTTCCTAATTCAGTTCCTTTTTTGGAAATAGTGAATGCAACAGAAATAAGTCAAATAACTGAACAAACTTTCTGTACGAATATGGCAACTCTACCGACATTGAGCTGTCGGCTCTCAAGCTACTCCACCATGTAACAGCTTGAATTGTTCACCCATAATCCGATTACAAAAGTCTACTTAACACACAAAAGGGAAATAATACTTTATGACAAATCCCAAGAGAAGGATAAAGTGAGAATGAGTGGAGAAGGCACGATGTCATGGAAATGAGGAACAAAGATAGTAAAGTGCCCAACTTTGTCGAGATATAAAGTGTTCTGTAGCTTAAAGGTGCTTTACCAAATAGAAACCCACAAATTACCCAGTTGATTGAATTTGGGGGGATTCTGAGTTGTAAGGAATAAAAGACGTAATTTCTAGTGTTTTCTTATTTGTCTGCAATTCTTTCCTTCCCTGCTTTTGTCTTGGCTTCCCTGTGAGCAGAGTATAGTTTTCTTCCCCAATTAATTTTGGGCTTTGACAAAATTTGACAATTTTGGCTTTGACATGTGGACTTTGACATTGCTTTGGGCAATGGATTGTGGCTAGAAATGACAATTTCAAGCTGCTTTTTTCAAGCTGAGGTCTTAAAAGGCAAATTTCCACCAGTTCTCTGGAACTTCTTACCACCATGAGAAGAACATGAACCAGATAGCTTATGTTCCAGTCTGGGGCTTGGGATGAAGACAAATGCAGAAGACCCAACCATAGCCAGAAGCTGGGATCCAGCCTGGTCTAGCTGATCCAAGAGTGTAAGATAAACATTTGTGGTAGTAAGTTACTGAAACTTGGGGGATTGTCTGTTAAGTATTATTATCACAATAACAACAAGAACAAAACCCTACGAATGTACAACTCAAGCTAGCTTCAGAGGAAAAAAAGGTATGGGTTCATGTAGCAACTTTGTTTTAGGTCAGGGGCTCACATTTTGTTGCTTTTCTTTATCCATCCATCTATCCGTGCATCTGCCTATTCCTCTATCCATTTTTTCCCCACCTCTGTGTCTCTGCTTCTCTTCATGTTTTGACCTCATTCCTTTCTTATGGAGGAACGTCCATGTTGTGCATTTGCTACAGTGTAATTTGCAAAACACTATTCCTGTAAGATGCCTCGGGAGAAAGAAAGGCTCCATGGTCTACCAGATTTGAAAAAACTACATTTCAGTTTTAATAATTCACAAAGCATTGTTGGCAAATACGCAAATATACAAAGCAAAACAAAAAACGATGAGGAGCTCTCTGGTTTAGAAAACTCTCTAATGTAATTTATTTAACGCAGCACTTTCCAAGTTTATTTGACCATTGAAAACCCTTCTGGCCGTTAAAAATCTATCGACGGTTTCTCGGTGCATGCTTGGGGAGAATGGCGGTGGCGTGGGGAGAGCCCTGGTTTGCGAAATAGGACACCTGCATTTCAGCTGTGGCTGTGCCACCCACTCACTTTGCGTTGCCTCAGGGAAATGACTTCCCCTCCCAGCCCTTGGATCCTCATTCACAAAATTAGAGGGTTTGGATTAGTTGGCTTTTTAAGACTGTTGGCGTCAACAGTCTCTCAATTCTAGCAGGACAGTATATTTTACGGAAGAAGGGGTGATATGACCTCCCAAAGGACGGGTAACGGTGGCCAGAGGAGCACGATATAAATCCATGGAGAGTAGTCAGTCAGCTGTTTGCTTTAGACTCAAACATTATGGTCCAACACATTTTGAGTGGACACCCAGTAGAGACAGCTGTCGTGAATTCCCCTCACCCATGGCTATGGAGCCTTAGTCATAGACTCCTGAGCACATGTTTCTACCCCACTCAGGTGGCAGAGATGGTTCCTTTCCCTTGCTCCTTTGTGCTTTGTCCCCATTCCCCACAACTCCTCCTTTCAAATGTCTTGTATTCCATCACCACCACTCCCCAAATCCTTCCTCCTCTTGTGTGCAGCCTCTGGAATGGGTGGTTGGCAATTCTCAGTGGCATCCAGTTCAGCTGCTGGATGGGGGAGGAGGGGGAGGAGAGTGCTTTGAATCCTCTATTAGTCAGAATGCTTTTGGTGGCAGAAACAAAACCCTGACTCAAGCTGGCTTAAACAATAGGGAATTTATTATCTCACATATCAGGAATTCCAGGGGGCAGGGCGGATCCAAAGCTTGTTGAATTAGCCATTCAACAATGGCATTCAGGAAGAGTGTCTATGTCTCTGCTCTGCCATCGCCGGTTGGATTCTTTCTCGGGCTGGCGACAAGATGGTGGGAGCAGTTGCGAGCATAATATCCAGGTATGGTAAGATCTAGAGGAAGAAGGGGTCCTTTTTTTTCTTTTTTCTTTTGCTGTGGTTCTATTATTTGAAGCAAAGACATTTTCTCCAGAAGCTGCCGAGCTACCACTTACTCCAAAGGACTTCCTGTTGTTTCCTTGGAAAGAACGGGGAGTGTCCCCGAATCAATCACCAGCGGAGAGAAGAGATTGCCCTTAGGTCAATCAAGCCCATCTCTGGAGCTGGGAGTGAGGTCAACGGCCACTTAAACTACTGTTGGACCGAGAGAACAATGCCTGAGTTTGGTTAGGAAGCAAGAGGACAGAAACGACTGTGGAGTGGACAATCTATAGGAAGGTCTTAAGAGGAGAAAGGGGAGGGAAGCGATTCTTGAAATGATCTGGCCTCGACTACATCTTTCAGTTACAAACCCTAACCTATTGCTAACATTTCTTGTGTACCATATTGTGCCAAGAGAATGTCATCTCCCTCTTAGCCCCCAGGTACGTGACCAAAGACTTTCTCTCACTTTAGCATCTGTACCTGCGGGGCTCCAGAAGAGATGGGAGAGGGAGAAAACTTGATCTGCCCTCCTGAAATAATTCTGTTTAAGCTACTTACGTTTCCCACATTTGAGCAGCCTTACCTACTTATCCCTTACCTGGAATCGCTGGTCTGGGGGAGTCTGCTCTACGTACAAGCAATCCCTATCTGTGGGGGTGAGGCAACTATGATCGGGATTCCAACCCACTGTAGCATAAGATCCAAAGTCACTGACTTTGAGGCAGATCGTTTAATGGCATTCTTCTTCTTCAGTATGCTGCTCTGTAACAGAGAGGTGATGATAATTCCCACCTCCTACAATGACTGTGAAAATCAAAGAAGGGATTGCACATGAGTGCCTCGGCACAGTGCCTCACACAGGCACTGTCTTAATGGCTAGTCATTGTTGTTATTTCTGCGATTATAGGAAGAGAGCTGTTATTATGACGTCATCTAGAAAAATCCCAAAGCAGCCAATCGAGTCAAGCTGATGCTTCCAGCCCCCCGCCCCAGAGGCGCTCCCTTCGCACTCCCCATCCTGAGCGACACAGCATCACATGGCAGCGGGAGTGAAGCCAAGAACTAGACGGGCACTTGATTCAGCACAGTGGCTCCGGCTGCCAAGTAGGCTTTTGGAAAATGTCTTGCTCCCCCCCACCGCCTCCCTGCCTCCTGGAGCATATTTTGGACGCCTACTTGTCATATTGCAAAATGTATGTGACAAAACAATCTGGGATCTCGCTGACAATTATTCCCTTCATGCCGCGCCTCGGAGTCTCTTGGCCGAGGGTGCGTGCCAGCCTCAGGGGCCCTGGCACGAAGGCTAGGCGAGGAAGAAGCCCTGCCCAGCAGGAGGGGCTGGAGGGGCTGGGGCGAGAGCAGGGACCCACGTTACTCCAGATGGGTCTCTTCCGTTGTGACCCAGCTCAGGCACGTCACAGAAGTTTGCCCTCCTTCTGTGGGCGACAGAGCGAAGCGAGACCAAGAGAAACAACAGACAACGGCAACAGTAGACATTTATTACCCCCTTTATTACTCTCCTAAGGGTGCTGTAACCGATCACCCCAAAGTGGGTGGCTTAACACAATAGAAACTTATCCTCTCACAGTTCTGGAGGCAGGGGTTTGAAATCAAGGAGCTGGCAGAACCACGTTCCCCTCCGAAGGTTCTAGGGGAGAATCTTCCTTGTGCCTTCCGGCTGCTAGCGGCCCCAGACGTTCCGCGGCTTGGGGCTGCGTCACTTCGACCTGCCTCTGATTCCACAGCGTTTTCTCCTCGGTGTACCTTCTGCCCTTCTCTTTTCTTAGAAGGACACCTGCTCTTGGGTTGAGCCCCCACCCTAGTCCAGGATGATCTCATCTTGAAAGCCTTCATGACGTTTGCAGTAACCCCCTTTCCAAATAGCACTGTATTCCTACCGTCTGGGTAGAGGTGTCTTTGGCCGGGCCACCATTCCAACCGCTGCACGGCCCTTTCTGGGTGGCAGGTGCCGGACGAAGGATGTAGGACCTAACCACTCCCATGACAGCCTTAGGAGCCTGCCCCGTTTTCAGCCCCATGTTCAGATGAGGAGCCCGAGCTGTCTCACACACTATTCGTGACGATCCTTTGTTCTTCACTCCGCCCTATGCAACCGAGACTATTTGTGACTGTCGTTTTACAGACGGAGATCGAGCTGAGGCTTAGATTTTGTAACTTGCCCGGCCGCTAGTGGAAGGGCTGTTCCGTACTGTAGCTTTGATTTTTCTCAGACGAACTGGATGGAGAGAAATAACTCGTATTCCTTCTGCCAGGCTATCTCAGAAAGTATTTGCTGGATGGATAGCCACTTGAAGATGAAGCGTGTCTCAAGGAGCTCAGGGATTTCTCCTTCCTCTCGCTTCCTGCCGGGAAGAGGTGCGAATACGGTTGCCAAAATCCCCACGAGGCCCAGAGGGGCAGGGGGCAGAAGATCCCCAACTGGCTGGCCTGCGTCCTCTCCTCCTTGCCGAAAACTGCAGCAACTGTGTGATGCTCGAGGCTGGCGGGAGCCGCCCAGCGCAGAGCTGTGAATTTGCCCAGGGCCAGAAATGGCTTTCACCCTGGGGAGGCCCAGCACTGTCATCCAGGGCTACTTTGGGAAGACAAACCCAGTGAGTCTGCACTGGTCCCGGGAATGCTGGAATGGGATTCGTTGGTCACTTGCAGCGCATCATGCTCTGAGATGGGTCCTTTATGCAGACGTGATCCCGTCTGGTCCTCAGATACTATTGTCTCTACTCAGGGCCGCTTCTAAGGTGTGTAGGGTGGGGGCCAAGAGGGCTAACGAGGCACCAAGCCCTGTGTTTAAATGTGTGAAAGGAGACAGGTCACACACTGTGGGCGCCCCACCCACATATCTGGCTCAGTCCAACCCCCTTCCCCCAACAGCTGTCCCTGGGCCTTAAGGTGTGCCTGCTAATGGAACGGTGTATTCTCAGGAGAGGAACACCCTCCTACACTCTGGAGGCAGGCCCCGTGACATTTGGGCAGGGGACTCTGGAGTCTTGTGTACCTGGAGTATAGGGTGGGCACGTTCCCTCGGTCCCCCTGGCCCCCTGTCCACTGGGGAGGATGTGTGTGGAGGCAGAGGAAGAAATTGGGTCCCTCTAAAGTGCCAGGGCTCTTGTCTGGCTTTGGGTGCTCTGTCTCCATTGTTTCACCCACAACTGAATTAAACAAGAGTTAATGTATTCACGATCTATTGCCACGTAACAAATCTGCCCCTCCCAACCCCACCCTGGAAACTTAGTGGCATTAAAAGCAGCCAACGTCCCTTATCTCTAAGTTTGGGTAGGCAGGAATCTGGGTGTGGCTTCATTGGGGTCTCAGGTTCAAGGTCTCTCCTAGGCTGCAAATTCAGTGTCTCTCTAATCAAGGTGTAACTGACTCCTCTCCGTTGGGGCAGCTCATGAACAGGGCAACTGGCTTCATCAGAGTGAGCAAGCCCGAGGGAGAGAGAGAGAGAGAGAGAGAGAGAGTACAAAAGACAGAAGTCACTGTCTTATTAAAAGAATTATTGTGGTAGGAGGCAAGGGAAACAAAGCAAAAGTGAACTCTTGAGACCTCATGAAGATAAAAAGCTTCTGGCAAAAAAGCAAACAACAAAACTAAAAGGCAACCAACGGAATGGGAGAAGATATTTGCAAAAGACAGATAAAGGGTTGGTATCCGAAATCTACAAAGACTTTAGTAAACTCAATACCCATAAAACAAATAATCCAGTGAAGAAATGGGCAGAAGACATGAACAGATACTTTTCCAAAGAAGACATCCAGATGGCTAACAGATGCATGAAAAGATGCTCAACGTCCCTCATCATAGGAAAATACAAATCAAAACCACACTGAGATACCACCTCACATCGGTCAGAGTGGCTAACATTAACAACTCAGGAAACAACAGATGTTGGGGAGGATATGGAGAAAGGGGAACCCTCTTGCACTGTTGGTGGGAATGCAAATTGGTGTAGTCACTCCGGAGAACAGTGTGGAGGTGCCTTAAAAAACTAAAAACAGAACTACCCTATGACCCAGCAATAGCACTGCTAGGAATTTACCCAAGGGATACAGGGGTGCTGATGCATAGGGGCACTTGTACCCCAATGTTTGTAGCAGCACTTTCAACAATAGCCAAATTATGAAAAGAGCCCAAATGTCCATCAACTAATGAGTGGATTAAGAAGATGTGCTACACACACACACACACACACACACACACACACACAATGGAATAGTATTAGGCGATGAAAAAGAATGAAATCTTGCCATTTGCAACAACGTGGATGGAACTGGAGGGTATTGTGCTAAGCAAAATAGGTCCGAGAAAGCCAGACATCATATGCTTTCACTCATATGTGGAATTTGAGAAACTCAACAGATGAACAGAGGGGAAGGAAAGGAAAAATAAGATAAAAAGAGAGAGGGGGCAAACCGTAAGAGACTCCTAAATACAGAGGACAGGGGTTGAGGGCTGTTGAGGGAAGGTGGGTGGGGGGATGGGTTAAAAGGGTGATGGGTGTTAAAGAGGGCCCTCGTTGGGATGAGCACTGGGTGTCCAAAGTAGGAGGTGAATCAGTGAGCTCTACTCTTGAAGGCCAGACTACACTGTATGTGAACTAACTGGAGAATAAAAAAAAGAAAGAAACCTTAAAAAATTTTTCGTGGCAAAATACAGCATTTACCACCTTAACCGTTTGTAAGTATACAGTTTTCTGGTATCGGGGATGTTCACATTGTACTTAAAAGCAAAGCCGTCCATTAATTGGTGACCAAGTATGGCCAGGAGAGGTATCCGCAAGAGGTTACGTTTAAGAAGAGGAGTCGGCAGTGAAAAGATTGGGGTGTTGGGGGAGAAGAGCCAGAGCAAAGGTCCGTAAGGTGGGTCAAACTTGTCACGTAGAAAGGGGAAAGAAGGCTGCGGTTGCTGGACCAGAGTGAGCTATGGGAGGGGACAGCCAGAGACGAGATGGGGGAGGTCACGCAGCCCGGTCCTTTGAAAACTGCCCAGAGCCTGCGCTCGATTCTCGGCCTAACAGGCCGCCGCTGGCAGAGGTGGGCGGAGGAGTTAGCTTGGAATAGAGGTGACGGGGGTCCAGGGAGGGGTGGCTGTGGAGCAGGGTGGCCAGCTTGCCTGGGTGATCTGCTGTATCACTTACCCATTTGGCCTCTGGCTTCTTGGCGGGGGGGGGGACTGGTTTTTGCAATTCGTTGGGTGCTTCCCTCAGGATTGATCACCTCTTGCCCCTCTAACAGCTCCCAGGAGCAGCTACGAGTATCCTCATTCCATCCAACCGCTGGGGGGGTTGGAAACATTCAAGTAACTGAGATAATGAGATGGAATCATGGCGTGTAGCACGGCCTGTGAGCCGCAGACAGTTCTGAGCACGTCACATCCTCTGTTGGTAGATGTGATTGTTATTCCCATTTCACAGATGGGGTCAGTGAGGCGCAGAGAAATCAGACAGCCTGGCCAACATCCTACAACTAGCCAGGCCTACGGCCAGGGTCCAAACCCAGCCAGTGAGGTGCCATAGTCTGTCCCTGACCACTAAGCTCCAGTACGTTTCTCATTTCTCTGGGGTGCTGGCTGCAACACTCGGGTCCCCATAGGCATTTAATCTCTCAGTTCGTTGTTTGGGCTTGGGTTTGGAGTTTGCTTGGTTTTACGGTATAGCAGGGGACAAGAACTCTAGTCTGGCATCAGATCGCCAGCTTAAGCAAGGATGGCTGTGTCTCCTTTGCTGGGGACAGCCCGCCTGAGGACCTGGGCCACCATCCCGGGCTCTCTGTCGTGGTCATAAACAAAGGACGTATTCCTCAGGGCCTACAGTCACGTGTGTACAAGCATCTGCAGCAGGAAAAACAGATAATTAGTTTGTCCCCAAACTATGTGACACAATTAGTATTTTCTATGTGATGTTGGGTAGATGTGCTTCAAAGTCACAGAGGAGAGCTGCAGGTATAAGCCGACTTTAAACTTCCTCGTCGAGAGAACTCAGACCTGGTGATTACTATTTTAAAGTCCCTGCTGAAAATCAGTCAACAAAGCACCTCGGTCATTAGCCACAGCCAAGGCAAGATCCTCCCTTGAAAGTCTGGCGGGAAGGAAAACAAAAAATAGCTCTGGGTCTGGAGTCAGAGGTAGGGTTGAAGGGATGCTTGGCTACTTTCCTGCCACGGCGACGTGGAAAAGGCCACAGGAAGGGCACGTGGCTGGCTCCATGTATTAAGCATTGGACTCTTAATTTTGGCCCACGTCTTGTTCTCTGAGTGGTGGGTCAGGCTCTGTGCTGAGTGGGGAGCCTGCCTGAGAGTCTCTCCCTCTCTCGCTGCCTCTCCCCCGGCTTGCATGCACACATTCTCTCTCTCTCTTAAAAAAAAAAAAAAAAAAAAATTAAAAAAAAAAAGAAAAAGAAAACCAGGCCACAGGAATGGGGTTTCTTCTGGGGAACACCGTGCATCCACATGTAGTGTCTGGACGTGTGGCAGCCAGTGTGGACCATGAGGTACCAGGCTGGCCAGCAGAGGGTGACATCAGAGAAAGATAGGAAAATTCTAGGTCCTTGCTGATGTTGAGGAGGTGAATTAACACATTGTGAAATTGCCTTGTTTCCAGGCGTTTTGGTATCTGAGAAAATAAGTCCCGTTCTTGTTAAAGCCATTTTGCACCAGGGTTTCTGTTACCTGAAGTTGTAAGTGTGCTGGCCGATGCCGTGGACAACCATGAAGAGTAAATGATGCAGTGCACGTAAGCGGGTGGATTGCCCACGGTAAAGCAGTATTAATACAGAATGAAGTGTCTTGAAAGTCAGAATCTGGAGGAGGGTAGGAGAACAGGGTACGGAAAGGCCAAAGATTTTTACGATCCTGCAGGAATGGGCAATCTAGTCAAGGGTGCTCCCAAGTCCAAGGCAAACATCAGTAATAGAGCACAGAATACTCTCCATGGCCAAGTGTCTGTACCCTGGGGCTTTGTGGGGCTCACCCATTTGTTTCCCGTCTCTCAGGGACCACTGTCCTGCCTTGCCTGGTGTCCAGCATTTCAAATATCTTGTCCATTCAAAAATTCATTATAATTCAATTATTATATCAGAATTATATGTGTTATATGATATTTACACAATGCCACTTATATAACGTATGCACAAATACTCTACATACAAAGCACATAATTCTATAATATGTTATAGAATTAGTAGAACGATGATTCTAAGAAATTAACAATAATGAAAGTCCTGGTGGTTTACATTTTGAGAAAGGTTTCTCACTGGGAAAGGAATGGTTGGTCTCTCATGAAAGGAACATACATATTATGTATAGAGGTGTAATTATATAATGTACTATGTAATTGTTGTGATAACAATTAACGTCCTAGTGGTTTGTACCTTAACACGTTTTTTCGCTGGGAAAGAAGGGGCTTCGTATTCCATTAGGGGAATTTTAAGCAAGCAGAGTTTGTGGGGTGGTGCCTCCCGAAATCACACCTCTTGGATCCCAAGTTATGGTGAGTAAAACTCTGAGTCTGTGCACTCTCGGCACAAATCCAGGCTATTAATGTGGCCCAGGGCCTCGCTCAAAACACCATTGGTAGAACCAGGGTAGGTGAAAATGCACTGGTGACAGCTTCTGTTCTAATTTTACCCCCGCCCCAACCCTTAAAATACATCTCTGAACAGTGGAGTGCAGTTTAGCAATGAATGGACTTGTTCCTGGTTACTGAAGACACGGAGACAAGCGACTTCCCCTGTGCTGAGGACACAGCAGGAGACGCGTGGGGAATGGTGGGATCTAGCATCTTCTCCATCAGCTAAGCTTCCTGGAGACTCCTCTTCCATCTAAAAATTGATGGCTTCTGTCCAACATGCCTAAAGTGCTGGCTACACAAAAAATCAGCCAAGGTAACACTGTTTCCAATATTTTAAATCTCTGAGACACGATGTAACTTATTGGAGGGGAGTAATCTTCAAGTTCAGATTGGACAAGATTAACGCCACCCGGTAGACCAATTCATCTTATCACTTGGAGAAACACCGGTCAATTGCAAAAAGAAAAAAAAAAAGAAAGCTACATTCTTCACTCGTTCCTTTCCTGCGCTCCTATCCTGTGCAGTGTGGCTTTGCAGCACCTTTGCCTAAGAGGTGGAATCTACTCCCTCACCCCCCCCGGAATCTGGGCTGGCTTGGTGACATGTGTTGGC